CGAAACGATTGGCGGTACAACACGCGTGGCTCGAATGAAACGCGGCGCACTTTGCGCGCTGGACATGTGGTCGCCGACGATGCAACATGAGAGGTCGGAGCGGGGCGCGGCGTACATCGCGCGCGGTCTTGTTTCTCGTCGGCGTTGCTCAATACGCGGCAGGAATAGGACGCAGTTCATGCCGCGCGCTGAACGTCCAGCCGCCCACGATATAAGATGAGCGACAGGCGTCGGACGCGACGCACTTGCTTCTTATGTTGTGGGCGGGTCGACGAGCCCCCGCTCTTCGAAGGCCACGACCCCCACCCACCTTCAACCACCCACCCACCCACCCCCATCCCCCCCGCACCCACCCCCACCCACCTGTGGATAATTGAACTCCCTAGCCTTCCAATGACAGGTTCGGGGAGGTTTCGTGACAAATTTCGTGCCCGGGGCCCAAGGATGGCCCCCACGAGCGTTTAACAATTTTAACGCCGATTGGTTTGCTTCTGGTGTGTTGGATTGCATCGTCTTGCGGCGGGGCCCAAAGGGGCCTGGTGACCGGAAAACGGTTCCCACATTCTGGCCGTGATACTCTGTCGCGTTTTTTTTCCCCCCCAGCTTTCCTCCGAGCTGGGGCGTAAATGCGTGCAGTTACAAATCGCTCCAGCGCGCAAAACATTTTCCAGAGCAGGCGTCGTGGCGACACGAAGGCCTGAAGCAAACTGAACTGTAGCACGAACTGTAAACGTGATGGCTCAAGAAAAAGAGTACCGTCGTGGCGACACGACCATAACACCATACGCATGCAAACGATCTTCTGACTCAGAAAGCAACCGCCTCGTCAAACGTGTTGCCACAACCTTGGAGACAACGTTGAGGGAGGTTCAGGGAATGCCCTTGCGAGGAGAACCGAGTAATCCAAAGCTGGTCAGCCTTCAGACGTGCATCGAGTATCTCACCGCAATAGCAGGAGAGCAGTAAGCATGGCAGCGCATGAACAACAGACACATCCCCACCACCCCCACCCCCATCCACCCCCCATCCACCCGCACCCACCCCCATTCCCCCCCACACACCCACCCTCCCCCACCCACCCACCCACCCAGAGAGCCCGAGCGCGCGCGCGAGGCACTACACCCACAACCCACCAACCCACCACCATCAACACCCCACCCACCCACACCCACCAACAACATACCCCCACACCGCACACACCACAACACCCGAGCACACACACACTCACACCCGCTTCCACATCCACACCCACACCCCCGCGGAGGCCCCCCGCGCGCGCCCGCGCGAGCGCGCGCGCGCGCTAGCGCCCCCCACGCCCAACACAACCCCCACACCTCAACCCCCACACCCCCACAACCTTCCATAACCTCCAAACCCCACACCCCCACAGACCCCACACTCACACACACCCACACACACACTAACACACCCACACGCACACAACACATCCACACACACCCACACACACACACCCTCACACCCACACGCCCACACGCCCACACGACCACACACCCACACACTCACACACACACACGCACCCTCACCCACATCCTTGTTCCTTATTATTATATACCCCCACCTACCTCGCATTCGGCCGATAGCGGCCCAATCCGGGACCTCCCATCCGGACTCTAAAAAATCAATACGAAGTCGCCGGTTTTCTTCTCAACATCGTCTTTCTTGTCGTCGGCGATGCGAAAAACGTGGCAGGAATGGGACGCGGCGCGCATCGCGCGCGGCAGTCAATCTGGGCCCGCCCACCCTGACTATAAAAAATCAATATCAAGTCTTCTTTTTTTCCTCTCAGCATGGCCTGCCTTGTCGCCGACGGTGCGAAATACGTGGCAGGAATGGGACGCGGCGCACATCGCACGCGGACGTCCATGCGGGCTGCGGACACTCCCATCCTGACTAGCGTTACTAGTGCCATTGGTACGACTACTACTACTACTACTACTACTACTCCTGCTGCTACTACTTGTTTTGCAAATTGTAGTACCAAAGGCATTGCTACTAGTCTAGCAGTCGTACAAGTATTACTAGCACTTCTACTTCCATAGTGCTACTACTCTGTACTACTACTCGTACGAGTACTTGTACTACCTGTAGTACTTCTGCTTATACGACTCGTATTTTTAATCGTACTACTAATACTACTACCTATTCGTATATCCACTGTACACTACCACTACTACTACGACTACTACTACTCTTACTCTTACTACTACTACTACTACTACTACTGCTACTACTACTACTATTAATAATAATAATATTACTACCACTACCACTAGAACAACCACTACTAGTACGGCTACTACAAGTACTAGTACTACTACTACAACAACAACAACTACTACTACTGCTACTACTTCTACAACAACAACTACTACTACTACAATTACTACTACTACTACTACTACCACCACCACTACTACTACTACTACTACTACTACTACTTATAACATGTTTAGTAATCTTATTACAGATAATCGTAAATTTTTAACTACTACTGTAGCTACTACTATACTAATTACTACGGCACTACTACTACTACTACTACTACTACTACTATACTCCTATATTACTACTACTATTACAATACTTATTACATATTATATTACTATTACTCTTTCTATTACTATTTACTACTACTACTACTACTACTACTAGACCTACGGACTAACGACTAGCTTACGATCTACTCTACTACTACTATACGAATACTACTGACTACGGCTACTACCTACTACTACTACTACGATTACTACTACGATACTACTACCTACTACGGCTTTACTACTACTACATACTACTAATACTTATGCTACCTATACTACTACACTACTACTACTACTACTACTACTACTACTACCACTACGCGCCAGCACCCAGTTGCGCCAGCATTGTTTTTTTTTTATGTTGTGGGAGAGCGGAACGTGCCCGTTGTTCCTTTCAACATGGCCAGTCTTGTCGTCGACGATGCGAAATGTGTGGCGGGAGTGGGACGCGGCGCACATCCCGCGAGGACGTCAATGCGGTGTCCTGGGGTATCCTCCACTCGCACTTAAATGCCCGCGCAGCCCCCAGTTGTGCCATCACTGTTTCTTATGTTGTGGGAGGGCGGGTGGGAATGGGCATGCCATGCTTGACTCGCTCGAGCTGGCTAGCTTGACCCTCACCCTCACCCTCACCCTCCTCCTCCTCCTCCTCCTCCTTTTCCTCCTCCTCCTCCTCCTCCTCCTCCTCCTCCTCCCCCTCCTCCTCCTCCTCCTCCTAGGAGCGTCGCTGCTCGAGGCCAGGGCAGGAAGGTGCCCCGGCGACGGGCTGCGGGGCGAGCACGGCGGACTTGTGCCGCCGCACGCACTCGGGGCTCGCTTGCCGAGGGGGGCGGGGAGGGAGGAGCGGGGAGGGAGAGGACGAGGAAGGGCGAGGAGCGAGCGGGGCCCACGAGCAACGACGATAGCGGGAGAAGACAGTCTTGAAACGCCCGTGCAGCTCACCACAAGAAGAGGGGGCACCCCCTCGGAGCCCGAAGCGGGGAGGCGCGCGGGGCTGGCGCGCGCGCACACGCGCGGCGGGAGGCAGCACCACGGCGGCCGACGACGCGTGCCGCGAACGCGGGCCCTCGTTTCCTCTCCACCTCCTGTCCTCGTCCCTATCCATATCCTCCTGCTGCCGTTGCTCTCCCGGGTCTTCCACCAAGTGGGCCTTCTGGCGGGGTCGGGCATGTGTGCGCAGATGTTTAAGCAATCCCTGCCCATGGAGCCGGCGACGCTGGCTGTACCTTGCTCCTCGGGCTGTCGACGCCAACGTGCTGTTGTACATACACTCACGCACGCGATCTTCAACCAATGTGCAGTTATCTATCTACCAAAAAAAAGAATAAGATAGAAAAAACAAATTAAAAGTAAAAAAAGTTCTACCTAGACAAAAAATAAAATCTATCTCAAAAGCATAATAAAAAGAGTATAAAAGATACACATTTTTAAAAAAAGCAAGACTTGATAAGAAGAAAGAAAACTAAGTATAAGTATCAAAAAAATCTAAAGAAAACAAAGAACAAAAACAAACGAATCTAAATACTAAATAAAAAAACGTCTATAATAAAATAACTAAAAACAGAAATCTAAAGGACAAAGGAAAAAATAACAGATATAATCTAGTAAAATAAGAGCACAAAAAATGTAACACATAGAAGAAAAGCATAAATAAATACGAGTAAAAAAATTAGATAAGTTTAAGTAAAAAATTAAAAAATAATTTAATAAAATAACAAAAAATAAAAAAAAAAAAGAGAAAAAAAAATGATGTCTATAGGGCACGGTTCCTGTCTGCCTGTGTGTCCTCGTCCGCGTCGCCGTCCTCCTCCTTCCCCGAGGCCTCCGTGTGCCTCCGCAGACAATGGCCCGGAGAACAGAGACATCAAAGTCACGCCAGTCGGATGACCCGACCAGCGTGTGACGTTCAAGACGCGACGGGCTTTGGCACAGGAGGCGAATGACCAACACGCGCAGCTCGGCAGACTGGGGAAACCAAAAGGTACCTGTGCCGCTACTCCCTGGCCCTCTCCCGGGTGCGTTCTGACCAGAGTTTCGAGGCGAACCCAGCCTTGGCGACGAGGGCCTCCCAGGGGGCCCAAATAGGCAGAAACGAGGGAAGGGTAGCGGTATGGGTACCTCTTCCTCCTCTGAAAGACGGTGCGGGTGTCATTAATGACCCACCAAATCTCGGCGGTTGCAACACCTAGGAAGAAGAGGAGGACGAGGAGGAGGAGGAGGAGGAGGAGGAGGAGGAGCCGAGGGAGGCGAAGACAACAGCAAAACGGTAAGGGAAGAGTCTGCTTGCGGGGGGAGGGGGGGTCATCATGCTGTCACAGTTCGTCAGCATGACCCATCCTCTGCATCCAACATCTCGCCAATGTCTCATTCAGCAGAGCGGGCAGAGCTTCATGGAGCAGGCGAGGCCGTTACAGACACACCCCGACGAGTGGTATGTGTCGATATTGCGGGAGGACGGGCCCTCGTCCTCCTTGTAGAAGCCGTTGGTGCCAGGGACGCGAACCCTGGGCTCCACGAAGTGGCAGGGCAGCACGAAGCAGCAGAAAGCGAGACCCTTGTGCACGAGCCTGTCATGCCCCACGGCTCTCTTCTCGAAGCAGGCGCAGCCGAGGGGGATGCAGGCGCAGGTCCAGCAGCCAGCCATGTCCTCGGCCGAGATGATGCCTGGAGGGAGCGGCTCCAGGATGACGTTGTCCTGCATCGGAACTGGCACGGGCGTCCCGACCACCACGGCGATGTCGTCTGCTGCCAAGCCCCCGCCTCCGTGGATGCGCCTGGAGGTGTACCCGTGGCTGTACACGATGTCCCCGTTGGCCTGGACGGTGGCCGACACGGGGCCCGTGAGCACGTCTCCTGATATGGTGTAGCTCTCGCAGGCGATGGACCCTGGCTGCGCGCCATGGCCCGGATGCCGCTGGTTCCGGTAGTAGGTGACCCTGTTGCCACTCCTCTTCGCCCGGAACCGGTCCACGACGGCGGCGGGGTCCCCGCCCGTCTTGAAGGAGAAATAATCTCCGTCGATGTGTATCTCGTCTCGCTCGACTGGGGCACTGACCCCTCTACCTGGCGTAGGAAAGTAGATGTAAATCTTGCACGGGTGCCTGCAGCAGGAAGAGATGGGCTTGCAGTACTCTGGCTTCAGCTGGAAATCAAATTTTTTGATGGCCGCATGCAAAAAGCTAGGGTTGCCGTTGCTTACAGTGATGGCGGAATATCCGTTCTCCTCCACGGTCCTCTTCATCGCCTCGATCGAGGTGACAGAGCGCCAATTTTGAATGATAGACACGTCCCCTTGTCTGCACATATCGATGTCTTGGAATTCCATCCAATACCCACTCCTGCCTGTCACCGACGCTGTCGCCCCATGCCGCAAGGCAGCCTCGGTGCTCGCCCTGGGCCTGGAGGTGTACCCATGGCTCCACGTAATGTCTCCATTAGGCTGAACGGTGGCCGACACCGCCCCACTGAGGCGATCGCCCCGTATGGTGTAGCTCTCACATGCAATGGTACCCGGCTGCGCGCAGGGCCCTGGGCTGGGCTGGTTCCGGTAGAATGTCAAAGTGTCGCCAGCCCTGACTGCCCGGAAGCGGTCCACGATGCTGCCGGGGTCTCCGCCTGTCTTGAACGAGACGTAGTCCGTGCCAGGGTCACAAGCACCCGCTGCACTCCCGATGCACACATCGTCTTTCAATGGCGACGCGCCCGTAGAATCATAGATGTAGATCTTGCACGGGTGCCTGCAGCAAGTCGATATCGGCTTGCAATGCTCTGTCGTGAGCTGGTAGGGGAACTTCTTGAGGGCTGCATGCCCGAAACTGGGGTGTCCATTGCTGACCGTGATGGCCGAGTAACCCTTCAACTCCACGGTCCTCTTCAAGTCTTCGAGCGTAGTGTGCGACCGCCAATCAGGGATGATCTCGGTGTCTCCCTGCCCGCACATGTCGATGTCGGTGTACGCCATCCATCGTCCGCCCCTGCCCGTCACGGACGGCCCCGAGCCTTCGGAACTGTACACTGCGTCCCCGTGTGGCAGCACCCGTAGCCTCCTGGAGGTGTACCCGTGGCTGTACACGATGTCCCCGTTGGCCTGGACGGTGGCCGACACGGGGCCCGTGAGCACGTCTCCTGATATGGTGTAGCTCTCGCAGGCGATGGACCCTGGCTGCGCGCCATGGCCCGGATGCCGCTGGTTCCGGTAGTAGGTGACCCTGTTGCCACTCCTTTGCGCCCGGAACCGGTCCACGACGGCGGCGGGGTCCCCGCCCGTCTTGAAGGAGAAATAATCTCCGTCGATGCTCGGCTCCCCGGCCTCCAGGGCAGGGGCACGCCCGCCGGAGCCGGGCGCAGAGCTGGAGGTGTAGATGTAGATCTTGCACGGGTGCTTGCAGCAGGAAGAGATGGGCTTGCAGTGCATGTGCGTGAGCTGGAAGTCGAACTTCTTCAGGGCCGCGTGCCCGAAGGAGGGGTGGCCGTTGCTCACGGTTATGGCAGAGTAGCCCTTCTCCTCGACCGTCCTCTTCAGGTCCTCGATCGTCGTGCTGCGCATCCAATCGTGGACGATCTCCGCGTCCCCCTGCCTGCACATGTCGATGTCAATGAACTCCATCCAATACCCGCCCTGGCCGGTCACGGACGGGGACGCCCCTGGAGGGATCGACGGCTGCACTAGCGTCGCCATCACCACCGGCACCTCCGCGGGTCCCTCCTCGCGGCTGACGTCGTTCGACTCCTCCTCGCCAGCGACGTTGTTCGGCTCCTCCTCGCTCATGCTGCCAGTGCCCGACGGCGGCAGCCCGTGGCAGGTCCGACGAGCTCGAATCCGGCGGGAGGGCTGCCCGAGCCAGCGCTGGACGTGAGCAAGAGGGCTACGGCTGTGCTCCCTGGGCCGGTTCTGGGCGCCTCTGGCCTCGGGGACGAGTCTCGGCGGCCTCCCGGGGAGCCTGGGGCCCTCTCGGAGCCTCCCGGACCGCGTGGGCAAACCACAGGAAGACTGGGAGGACGCGAACGCACGGCGGCGGGGGTCTTTTCATATCCACTGCCCCGAGCCTGGCCCATCCTGGGCCCGGGAGCGGCGTATATGCCCTCCTTATTTGGCCAGGGAGGCATATGTATGTATACATACATACATACATACATACATACATACATACATACATACATGCATGCATGCATGCATACATACATACATACATACATACATAAATGCATACATACATCCTAGACCCCGCACTATTTCCAGGCCAGCATCTCGACAGTGTCTGTTCGCAGACGTTGTCCAGCCAGAGTGCACCATCCATCCGCGTCGAGAGGAAACGCGGGAGGCCAGGACAACCAACAGCGACCTCCTGCGAGTGACGGAGCATCTCTTTACAAGGCTCAAGGGTGGGTGGGCAGGGTTGAGCCCAAAAACCCACGGAAACGATCTAACATCGACGGCCTGGACACGTGACGGGATAAGGAAAGACATGAACGCATAGGATATCCTAGACCCCGCTCTATTTCCAGGCCAGCATCTCGACAGTGTCTGTTCTCAAACGTTGCCCAACCAGAGTGCACCATCCATCCGCGTCGAGAGGAGACGCGGGAGGCCAGGACAAACAACAGCGACCTCGAAACATCTCTCCGAAGATCTAACTGGCCCTAGGCCGCCAATCGCACCAAGGCTTGGTGCGTAGATGACAATCTAGCTTCACGATAGGCTCTGGCAAGGGCACTGGACAAGCTGGGCGGGTATGGCTCGGCTATTTTGGTCCAGAAAACTCCGGAAGGCGTCTTGCCTTCCAGAGCTCGGTGCGGACGGTGCGTGAAAGAACAAAGGCCACGCCCTGTACACTTGCAAGAGCTGATCGAGTCAAAATTGAAATGAGCAGGTATCACACGGGTTCTCTTCCTCCAAGCAGTGCCGAAGGCGCAGAAATCAAACTCCACAGTCTTAACCCCTGGCTGGCGTGCCGCATGCTGGGCCCAGCGGGTCTGCCAGACCCACGAGGTGGAAGGGTTCTCGATTGCTGCGGGGACTCCGCGCCTGGCACACTCCAAAAACAAGCTGAAAGAGAACTGCGATAACTCGTTACCCGTCTCGACTTTGAGGGGGTCAGCCGACGACAGGTTGGGCAGGCCAAACACGTGGGCGGCGTCCCGCAGGGCTGGTGGCCCGTTGGGACGATTCCGTGCCCGCGACCACGAGCTGCAGGGCATCCCGAGCCAGACGCCCTGCAGCAGGCCACCACGGAGCCACCCGCGCACCACGCGCTGGGCTCGCCGCCGGCTGAGGTCACCGAGGGTGGGCTCATGGTCCACGTCCAGCTCGAAGACCCGCGGCGCCAGGCGAGAAGTCATGCTCCCCCGCAGCGCCTGGGACCAGTTCCCGGAGCCACTGAAGACCTCCAAGTACACCTTCGAGTCGGTCAGGTGGGCCCAGGAGCTCAGATTCTGCACAGGGTGCCTCCAATAGTCGCGACGCAAACGTGGGCCCGAGACTGTAGGACGGGATGCAGACGCCACAGCACCACTTGAACTTGACCATCCCTCGCGTACTGCATGAGGCCCCTGACGGCATCCCACTGCCAGCGCTTCTTGATGTCGCCGAATGTCCTGGCGTTTGTCGGATACTCGGGGCTGGCCCCCCCGCGGCGCAGCGGATGCGGCATTGGGGGGGCGAGGGCGCCCAGTCCGAGGGCGGCGCCCGCCTGCAGGAGCGCCCGCACCCAGAGCCTCATGTCCAGGTAGGACAGGAGCGCGTCGATCGCACGTCTCCCCACGAGGCAATCCAGCAGCTGGTCGGCCCCGCTGAACTCTGGGCTGTCCACCTGGAGACTGGCGTCGTAGACCAGGGCCTTCGACATCACCCTGAGCTCCGCGGGAAACTGCAGGATCGAGTACATGCCCAGATGTTGTGGACCAGCCCTGACCAGCTGCTCGACTGGCCGGACGCGCAGCGACAGCGTCGCCGACGACCCCAGGCCGAGGACGGACGTCAAGACGACCGTTCGGGCAGCGGCCAGGGAGTCGTACGCCACCATCCAGTCGATCTCCAGGTCCGTGACACTCGCCACCGACAGGTAGGCCTTCGTCGACCAGATCAGGAAAGCTCGGCATCGGACCAGGTAGCTCCAGACGGCCCTGTCCTTCACGGCCCTGAGCTCGAGGACCGACTCGAGGAACGACCGCTGGAGCTGATCCCGCCAGCTCCCGCCATGGGGCAGCCTCGCCTGGCGGCGGCTCGCTCGCCCCGGGCCGTTCGGAGACTCGGCTGCCAGCTCCCACGGCCCCGCCGGGCTCGCGGCTGCCGTCGCGGGAGCTCACCCAGACAGAAGGCCAGCGAGCCCCCCCTTCGAGGCCGGGCGGGGGCCCGATGTCGGCCCAGCTCTCGCCAGCAGGCCCTCCGCGCCCGCTCGCAGGGCTGGGGCCGCCAGCGGCAGCGCCTAGGCAGCAGGAGTCGGCCGCCGCGGCCGCGTAGCCCACGCCCGGCAGGTTCCTGGAGGCGCGGTCGGCCGAGTTCCTCTCCGAGGGGACCCAGCGCTAGAAGAATGCAGCGCCGCTGGCCAGCGAAAGGGGCGCCAGCTGCCGGCACACGCGGCCCGTCTCCCGCCGCGACGAACGCCCCTTGGTGGCGGCCAGGATGGCTCCCAAACAGTCGCCCAAGCAGAGATGGCATCGGTCGAATGATGAGACACGTCGAAGGAATGTGACATGACGGATGGCCACGACCATACCGCGGGCCTCCAAGACAACCTGATGCTCTGAACGGATCCAGCGATGAGACACCACGGGGACCCAGCCTTTCGCCCAAACGTCGTATGAAATTTCGGGGAACTCCTCCTCCTCGACGTCATTGACCATCTCTTCCTCCATGTGCACCCCCTCCGTCACGGGCTCCTTGACGGGCTCTTCTACGAGCACCTCCAGGGGCTCCTTGATCGGGGCCTTTGGGTTCCCGGAGCAGGCGATGATGAAGACCGACTCTGGGGTGAAGGGGTCGGCGGACGTCGCCGACTTGAAGGCGTGGGATCGATGCGACATCTCGGACTCCTGATGACTACTGAATCTCCATATCTCATTGTACTTGGAGAGCTCACGAGCGACTGGGGCAGACGACTTTTCTGAGTGACTCCAACTCCCCACCACGATGAATCAACCGTCGTGAGCGCGCTGTCGAGCGGGGCGCCAGCGCCCCGGAAACAGAACATGACGAGGCTGGCGCACCAGCGAAGCTCGCGGAGGCAAGAGGGCCACAGCCGCGCTGCGCGGCCTCCATACTGGGCAGAAAAAGCGCACAGCGAGTTGAGAGCGGCCAAAAGCTCTCGGCGAACCAGACCCCGCGAGGTGAAGTGGGGCACCACGCGCGAGATCGTCTTGCCCGAGGCATATCCCCGTCAAGACAGCTCCAGGAAGGCCAAACGCAATTTCCAGCGGGGCGCTGGGTTCAGGCCGATGATCGGGAACTTCTCGTCGAACTGCCAGCCTAGTGCCACGGCGCCAAAGCTGCTCTCGACTCCGTGGGTAGGGAGACCCGCTGCACGAACGTTCGGGTCCACGGCCGACGCCGCGGCGACCGCCGTGTCCAGGTCCGTAGAGAGGCTGATCGCATTGTCCACGTACTCGGCATGAATCACACCCTCGGACACCAGCGGCACAGGTCGGCGGTCCACGAAGCGGTTCGCGAGGGAGAGCTGCACGACCCTCAGACTGGGACAACATCATACCATGAAGCCGCTCGACTATCTTTCGGCCAGCATCCCCTCCCAGCGCGTCAAGCGGCACGGGCTTGAAACCCTCGTCTGGAAGCGAGAGACTATTGATATGATCAAAGTCGAGCGGAGCGACTGTGGCGCTCTCGCCAGCGCAGTCGCTGAGAACTCGGAGCTCCTCAAGGGCTCCTGAGCCAGTCAATCCCTCCGGGGGCGAGCCGAACCGCCGGACTGTGTCTCGAACGTTGTCCAGGGCCTGCCGCTGGCCCGCAGTGATGGACTGAGGATGGCTGACGGGGTGCCAGGGCTGGCCAAGGTACAGCTCATTGAGGGTCCGAACGATCTCGCCCTCCATCGAGTTGGCGTGGCCCTTGCGGAGAACCCGACGCGCCACCGACCGTGAACAAGCGATGCCCTACGCCTCTGAAGTCCCCCGATGCTGTTGACAGGGCCCAGGCAGTGGAAATAGATCACGCTGTCGTCCAGCACGATCGCCCAACGAGTACAACTCACCAGCAGGCGGCGGGCCACCGCCGCTGGCGTCGGAAGTGGCCTCCCTCCCCGCGTAGATCTGCGCGGGCTCGGAGATCGAGCGGACGGCCACCCACGTCCCATCAGCCAGCGGCATCAAGCTGGCGGCCCCGCGGAGGTGCGAGCCGGCAGGCGGGATCACCACGGCCGTGGGGGCCCCGGCGCCTGCGGCGGCTAGCCGCTAGCTAGCCCAGCGCCCGCGCCAGGCCCAACGCTTCCTGCGGGACCGAAGGTCAGCGGGACGGCGAACGGCCCGCCAGGCACAGGCAGCCGCAGGCGCAGGTGGTCGGCGGCCAGAGCGGCGGTGCCGTAGTCCAGCGCAGTCGGGTCGATCTGCTGCATCTGCGCCACCGTGCGGTTCCTTCCGAACCCGTACGAGTTGACGGCACCGACGCCTCGAAGGAGAGCAGCTCGATCTGATGTGAACCTCACCGCAGCGATGTCTCTCCCCTGGCGTGAGTAGCTGTCCTCATAGATGTCATTGACCACCGCACAGAGGAACACCATCCACTGAATGACTCTCTCCAGTCGAGTCCACCCCCGTCGCCCTGGATCAGACGCTGGTGCCACATCTGCTTTCCATCGTAGTGCACCGACGTTCCCTGGAGCATCCCATGAGGTGCTGCTCCCACTGGGCTCACGTTCTGCACGGCCAGCCCTGCGGCGCCAGCACATCAGCACGACACGGTTCCACGACAGAGCGCCGTAGGTCAGCGCCAGGACCAGCAGGAGAGCCTCGTTCACCGGCACCACAGACCAGACGGAGGAGGGCTGTCGTGGTTCGCTGCTGCCCCCGCCGTTCGCCGAGGGCGTGGCGGGAGCGAGGGAGCCCCCGGGACACGTCGGACAGCCAGGACAAGGCGGGCACACACAGCTCGGTATGGCGGGGCACGAAGGGACGTGGACTGGCGGGCACCTCTGCAGGTTGCTGCCCAGGAGATAGGCGAACGCTCCCTGCCAAATGGACTGGGCGGCAGGGAGCCAGTAATCCATACGCACTGCCTTGGTGCAGATTCTTGAGCCCAAAAACCCACTGAAGCGATCTAACATCGACGGCCTGGACTCGTGACGGGATAAGGAAAGACATGCACGCACCATCCATCCATCCATCCATCCATCCATCCATCCATCCATCCATACAGACAGACAGACAGACAGACAGACAGACAGACAGGCAGACAGACATGCATGCATGCATGCATGCATACATACATATAGATATACATACATATATACATATACAGTTCCTGGACCCAGGATGGGCCAGGCCTCGGGCAGTGGATCTGTACAGATCCCGCCGCCCCAGAACGGGCGAGGGGAACTGGCAGAACGAGGGGGAAAAAGACCCGACGCGGAGATCCCCATGTGTGCATGACATACTATTGTCCCGCTTCGCTGGGAAACTCTGTCTTTGAGTATATGGGCGTGAGAGCGAGCCTGCGTAGACGACAGACGCGGCAACGACGACGACGACGACGACGACGACGACGACAGCGATTCCTCCTCCTCCTCCTCCTCCTCCTCCCTCCCCCTCCTCCTCCTCCTCCTCCTCCTCCTCCTCCTCCTCCTCCTCCTCCTCCTCCTCCTCCTCCTCCTCCTCCTCCTCCTCCTCTGGACATTTTTCAGGAGAGACGACGAGGGGGATTTCCCCATGCCGTTCTCCCCGCAACAACCCAAGCAGGAGCGCATGGCGTTGCTCCGTACGCCCGCTCTCTGGCGCGCTACTCGCGGCGCCTGCTGGAACTTGGGGGTGCCTCGGTGCCACGTCGGCTGCATCGCGGCAGACACGCGCGTGTGAGCCTCAGTGCGAGTGAATCTGAGCGTGGGCGCTATGAGTGTGAGCGAGACCGAGTGTGAGTGGATCCGGGCACGATTGAGTCCGACTGTGAGTGCGTCTGGCTAGAAGTCAACATGGGTACGAGTGAGTCTAAATATGAGTGAGTCTGAGGGCGAGTGAGTCTGAGTGTGCCTGAGCGAATCTGAGGCTGGGTGAGTCTAAGATTGAGTGTGATGATAACAATATGAATATGAATGAGCCTGGGTGCGAGGTAGTCTGAACACGAATGAGGCGGAGGGTGAGTGAGCTGGTCTGGGGCCTGGGTGTGCGTGAGTCAGAGTTTGAGTGAGCAAATCAGAGCATAAGTGAGTAAATATGAATGAATATGAATATCACTTAACAGGGGCGTGAGTACGGAAAGGAGCTGGGTGAGCGAGTGAGTGAGTGAGTGAGTGAATGAGTGAGTGAATGAGTGAGGAACACGCAAGTCCAAAGACTGCAGGGCAGAAGCTGGCAAACCGATCGAGACATCCCCAAAATCTGGGCGAGAGTCCTGGAGTGTCCTCACCCCTGGTGGCCCCCCCTGGGGGTCCCAAATGCGACGCCTTCTTTCTCGGGGTGAACATTGAACCGCCAAAAGAGAAAAGTCTTAGGAGGAGAAACAGGCAAACCGCCAGAGCTGGCCACAAAATCTGGGCGAGAATCCTAGAGTGGCCTCACCCCTGGCGGCTCCCCTTCGGGGTTTCAATTCACCACCATCGAATATGTTCCACGTTGGCATAGCAACAATAAGTGAACCCTTAGCGATGACCGAACGAGTTTCGAGTGACACGCGCGCCCGTGCGCGTCACCCGCCGCACGCGGCTGGCCACCGCGCGCGCGGACGCGCGCGTGAAAACTCCTTGCGTTTCCCAGAATAGAAAGTCGTCATGGCGGCCTGGAAACTCAAGTGAACTTGGAAATCCGCTGTACTCCTACAGATTCAGGACGCTGGAGGATTCCTCAGGGCCCCGAAGCATTCCTCAAGGATTCGTGCGGATTCATGAGGTTTGCCAGGTGTTCTTGAGGATTCCTAAGGGTTCCTGCGAAATCCAAGGGAGTTCCATAAGATATCTAATGATTTTGGCCTCTTCACGCCCTCCCAGGAAGCCCACTGCATCCGTCCGTGGGGGCGCCCCACCTCCTGGACGAATCCCCGCGCTCCCTTGTGTATCAACACTCAAGTTGTTGAGTTCCCTCGCCGGCCACGAAGGACCCCCCGATCCTTGGAATCCCCCCACCGCACCGCCCGCGATATCTAGCACCAGTGGTACGACATCCCTCGGCGCCAGGGGGGGGTAGTGCTTACCCGAGAAACGAAATATCTGCGCGGAGCTCCGAACCCTCATTCCTGTGGATGCCCCCAGGTGACGAAATAACCAATGAGAACTGAAAGAGCCACGATATCAGACTCACGCTGTCGACAGCTGAGGTATAGCGAACTAAGTAACTAACTAACTAACTGACCAACCAACTAACGAACTAACAACTGAACACCAGCTCACCCGCACCGAACGAAGAAGAAGCCGACGTCAGACGGGGGCCTCACGTGGCAACTCTGTCTCAAAGGTAAGACTCAACTGGCCATGCAACTGCGATCACGACCTCAGATTTTGAGGCCTCACCCACTGGCATCAACTTGCGGAGCTCTGCGCTGATTTCTTGGAACCGCACTGATCCCGCAGGACCTGGACCTCAAGCTCTCAAGGACCGAAAGGGACGGGGCCCAAGAACGCAAAGGGACCCGCCCTGAAGGATCCCCCAGCCCCTGGGACATCCACCCCCCCCCCACCTGCGCCTGGGGGGCCGGCGCCTATAGAGAGGAGGAGGAGGAGGAGGAGGAGGAAGGTGAGGATGAGGAGGAGGAGGAGAGGAGAGGAGGGAGGAAGGAGGAGGAGGAGGAAGGGAGGGTAGTAGGAAGGAGGAGGAGGAGGAGGAGGAGGAGGAGGAGGAGGAGGAGGAGGCCGCGCGGAACTCCGCAACTTTCCTTCTGCGCGTGCCCCCGGTGACGGATTGGCTCGGGACCTCAGGGGGGCCCCGGGAGCTGGCGCCGCAGACAGAGGGGCGACGGGCGTCCGAAGGGAGACCCACGCGCCAAAACTGGTGCAGAGGGCAAACGCCTCGGTGGGACATGAACTGCTCGACGTGGAGATCCCCCCATGCGCATCTCATACTCCTGCCACGTCTCGCTGGGAGAGTCTGTCTGTGAGCATCCGGGTGCGAGAGCGAGTCCGCGTAGACGACGGGCGTGAAGACGACGACGACTTCGGCGACGTCCTCCTCCTCCTCCTCCTCCTCCTCCACCTCTTCCTCCTCCTCCTTTCTTCCTCCTCCTCCTCCTCCTCCTCGTCCTCTGGGCATTTTCAGGAGAGATGAGCGAATCTCTAGTGAAGAGCGAGGGAGCATTGACCAATCAAAACAGGGAAGACTGCGAGTGGATCTGAGCGCGGGTGATCTGAGTGTGAGTGGGTCTGAATGTGAGTAAGCCCAGGAATGATCGAGATTGAGTTTGAGTGAGTTCAGGTGTGAGAGAGGTCCGAGTACGGGCGCACCTGAGTATGAATGAGTCTGGGCATGGGTGAGCCTGAGCGTGGGTGAGTCTGAGTGTGACCACGTCTGAATGTGAGCGGGTCTGAATAGGAATTCGACGAGTCTGAGTCTGAGTCTGAGCATGAGTGAATCTAAGTGCGAGTGAGTCTGAGTGCCAGTGAGTCTAAACGTGCGTGCGTCTATGAGTCTGAGTATGGGCGAATATGATTGTGAATGAATCCGGGTGTGAGCGAGTCCCTTTATGACTGAGCCTGAATGCGACTGGGTCTGAGTGTGGGTGCGTCTGGGTTATGAGTGAGTCAGAATCTGAATGAGTCTGAGTGTGAGTGAGTCTGAGTATGACTGAGTCTGGGTATGACTGAGTCGGAGTGTGGGTGAGTCTTAGTGTGAGCAAGTCTGAACGTGAGTAGGTCTGAGTAGGAATGGCGAGTCTGAGTCTGAGTTGGAAAGAGTCTGAGTGTGAGTGTCTTTGAATATGAGTGACACTGAGTATGAACAAATTCGGGTATGAGCCAGTCTGAGTGTGAGTAAGTCCGACTGTGAGTGAGTCTGAGAATGTGATGGTTATGAGTTTGAATACGAATGAGCCTGAGTACGAGTGGTCTTGCGTATGAGAGAGTCTGAGGGTTGGCGAATCTGGATGAGAGTACATCCGAGCGTGAGTTAGCCTAAATGTGACTGAGCCTGAATGCAAGCGAGTCTGACGGTGAGCGAATCACAGTCCGAGTGTGTCTGGGCATGAGTGAGTCTGAGTATGACTGAATGGGTTTTGGTGTGAGCGAATCCTATGTATGAAAGAGTCTGAGTAAGGTTGCGTCTGAGTATGAATGAGTCTGACTACGAGTGAGTCTGACTGTGAGTGAATCTGCGTGTGAGCAGGCCTGAGTGTGAATGAGTCTGAAAATTGGCCTGGCGAGGCTGAGTCTGACTGTGAGTGGGCCTAACCGTGAGTAAATCTGAGAGCGAGTGAGTCTGAGTGTGCGTGTGAGTCTGAGTATGACTGAATCTGAGTGTGAGCGGGCCTGGGTGTGAGTGAGTATGTTGATAGGTGAGTCTGAGCATGAGTAAGTCTGAGCGCGAGTGCATCTGAGTGCGAAGAAGGAAGAGGAGGAGGGAGGTGAGGAGGTATGAGTGATCTGGGTGTGAATGATTGACGTGTTGGTGAGTCGGAGTGCGAGTGAGCCCAGGTATGATTGCGCTTGAGTGTATGAGAGAGCCTCAATATAAGTAGGACTGAGTACGAGTGGGCCCGAATGCGAGTGAGTCTGAGCGGAAGCAAGTCTGAGCGTGAGCAAGCCTAAGTGCGAGTGGGTCTGAATATGAGCAACGAGCCTGGGTCTGAGTAGGAGCGAGCCTGAGTGTGAGTAAGGAGGAGTGCGATCGAGTCTGAACATGAGCGAGTGGAAATGCGAGTAAATCCGAGTTTGTGTGTGTGTGAGTCTGAGTAAGGCGGGTCTGATGGGTACGAGTCTGAGTACGAGTGAGTCTGAGTACGAGTGGGTCTGCGTTTGGGTGAGCTTGAGGGCTTGCGAAGCGAATCTGAATGCAAATGAATATATCTGGGTGTGAGTTAGCCTAAGTGTGACTGAGCCTGAATGCGAGCGAGTCTGAATGTGAGCGAGTCTAAGTACGAATGCGTCTTGGTTTAAATGAGTCTGAGTACGGCTAAATGAATTTGAATGTGAGCGAGT